TTTTTGTCCAGATAAATAAATCGTAGATATTTGGAATCATCCACTGGCATTGAGATATTACTTTCCTAAATGTGTTTAACTTTCCCTGTCAACTTTCCCAGTGGGAGGAAAGTGGAGCACCCGGAGAAAACCCTGACTCTTTTCACATGAGTCCGTAGCAAGAATCGAAGCCACGATCTCAGACGTGAAAGGCGCTTGCTCTGATGACTTAGTTTGTTTGATGTCTTTGGAGGCTTCGGTGGCGCAGTCATCAGAGCAAACGCCTTTCACCTCTGAGATCGAACACCGCGGAAAAATGTCTGCGCATGCACCAAATTATGAAAATATGGCGGGTAATTTGAATATCAATATCTAAAACAAAAACATGCTTATTAATTGGTCAAAAATTAGTAAAACAAACGAGAAAATATAGCAAATGGGTAGACTAGACTTTAATTGAAAGCGTCCTGGCATTTAAAGTATGGAATGAAATATAATTCATGTGAAAAAATGTTGATTTTAACGGACATGACTTTTAACGGACATGACTAAAAAGTTAAGAAAACTCTCGAAAAGTTAAGCTTCTTAACCCACTCAAATTGTAGAATAAATCCTATAGTTTAATTATTGTGAACACGAAATTTTTTTATATTTGGCGACATAGTTTTTTTTAAAGAAATGTATCTCAAACGAAAATTCGGAAATTGTCGTTGCTTAGTTGATAAACAAAATGTTTCAGACGATAAATTTGTCAACAATCACCTTTAATTCATGTTCTTGTACAATACAATTTCTTGAACCTTCTGGCTGTATTTATTCCTAGTTTTTAGAATGACATGTTTATTTTCGCGCTCGAAATCTGGCTGTAAAGACGCACGACGAAGTCACTCCTTTTTACCGCCATTTTGAGCCTTCGGAAACGTTCGGAACAGCTTCTTATCAACTTCTCATCAAGTTCGCAATACTATTACAGGTAAGGTTGCCGCATCCGCAGACGTTTTTCCGCGGTGTTCTGAGATCGTGGGTTCGATTCTCGCTACGGGCTCATGAGTAAAACTGCATACAAATAAAAACAACTTACCAAAATTGAAACGTTTATTCTCTGCGTCGTTACAGTTTGTCGTCAATCTGATGTAGGGATCTATTCCTTTATTTGTAGCTAGTCGAACATAATTATCAGGGACTGCACACCGCGCCCGTTTATCAGGTAAATAATATACAGACAAACCTCCCCAAGAGGTCTGGGTTATAGCATGGTCCCGATCACGACAATTACCTGAAGGATCTGTAGCAACGAGCAAATACAACGCAGAAAGAATATAACCAAAATCACTCCTAACTGTTCCCTCGAAACATCCCTTTCTTTTCAAATTGAGCATGGCACTATTATCAAGAAACCGAAACTGAGCAGCTGGATCGAGACAGTTGTTGGAAAGTTCCACAAAAGATAAGGTTCCCCAAGGCGCGTCCACCTGTAGTATTCCTGTGTCATTAATACACATCCCTGTCTGCACATGTTTCACAAAGAAACAAGCAGCACCTGAAACAAAACAAAAATAAAAATAAACAACGAAGTAAACAATGAATCCCGTTGCGTGTCTGTTTGCTTGCCTTTATTACGCTCATGTTAGTTACTTAGCGTAGACTATATGGGTGTTGATGGCACAGTGTCCAACAATGTCTTTCATAGCTCATTTATATGACTTATATCACATAAGTATATTTCATTTGTCTAAATATGCATCAAGCTAATGCAAGCTAATTAACTGAACTGATTATAGTAGCTACAGGTGTAGCTATATTGTAGTTATTCCAATTTCCAAACAGTTCTTATCTTTGGCAGATGTCGGATAGCCGCAAAATAGAATATTAGACAGATTTAGATCGAGGACGCGGACGTCAAAGACGACGTAAAAATGGCGTCCAAATGGCGTAGCATATCCATACATGGGCACGCTATATTTTCACGTCGTCTTTGACGTCCGCTTCCTCGATATAAGAGACTTTGAGCAAGACAACGAAGTACGAAGACGAAGACGTGTCTTCCCATGTGTCGCTGTTTATGAATACTGACCATAATTCTTGCCCTGATCCAGAAAAAAACAACGAGACATGAAACTATATCCCGTCTTTGTCCTTCTGTCTTCGTGCAGAACGAAGTTCACAACGAATTTTGCCAAAATATTCGTTGTGAACGAAGGCAGAACACGAAGACGGGATATGGATTCATGTCTCGCTGTTTTATCCTGGTCAGGGTAAGGATTTGGGTCGGCATTCACAAACAGCTAGACATGAATCTCTAATCTGTCTTCACTCCTAACCCTAAGCTTAGAATGCACAAAGTAATGTGCAAGACAGGCAAAAATAGTCAACCACGTCGTCGTCGTTCGACTTCGTTGTCTTGCTCAAACTCTCTATAAATCTGTCTATTAATGAGCAAGATGGCCGCCATTCAAGGAGTGGTCTGAGCGGTCGCCGGGCGATTTGTATTGCAAACTGTTTTGTCATGTTTAAGCTGTTTTAAAGTGGGCTTTACGCCAAAGAGATGAAAAAAAAATCAGGGACGCGACTTATTAAAATGCAAATAACTTGCAGTCAGGCTCAAAATAAAATTAAAATAGGGTTTAAAAAATATAGATATTATTCTTACAGATGCACCGGGTGCAGTTTTAATTTGGCAAACTGCTTTGATTCACTACCGAAATGTTTCGTTATCTTAATTGTGGTATTAAGGTATATACGTCTATATATATATAGTTTATGTGATATATTGAATTTATAGACACGCGTCATTGGCTACGTCACATTTAACTCACTGAATTAACTCCATACATTTCGCTTGGGAATCATGCGAAATACTTCTCCTCTTACGAGGCATTATTTCATTAGACAGAAGTTATATACACATACCATAAATAAGCTGTACTGTACATTATATGTACTATTAAAATAACATTGGCTATGCCACATGGTTGTACTTATATAACTATTAACGCTAACTGCCAGGCTGCAAACTTCAAGAATCAATATTTTCGGTATTTTTTAGTGCTATACTTGTACTTAAAGTTGCATATTTCTATAGTCCAGTGACAACGCTCCGTGGCCGCGTCTTGTTTAGATTTATAATCATTGCCACTTATTATGAGGTTATAGGTTCATCACGGAAGTGACTGCGTGTTTGAAAGCACATGAAACATAAATACATGTTAGAAATGGCAGAAAACGTACCTTGGAGTAACAGGAAAATCACAGTCAGTATTACAAAATGAAAACACTTTGAAAACATCTTCTTTAATTGAGGAAGCACTTCAATTCAAGTACGCGTTATGAAAGCGGAACACGAATTGAACCAACGAGGCGAAGCAAAATAACAGAAATATTCATTGAAACTCGGCGTGAAGTCTGTGGTGCTTTTGAAATTGCACGAATAACAAATTCAAACATTCCTAAATGTTTCTTTGTTGTCTATAGTGGTTAAATCACAGTATTTACGAAATCTTAAAATCTGACGTATCAAGCTAATGCAAAATGCATCAAGATAATGCAAGCTAATTAACTGAACTGGTTGACTGTTCAGTGTTACGTTCGCGGGCGACAACGAACAAAAAATGTGTGTTGTTATCTTGATCAGTTTACGCGCTTTGCCCTCCTTGACCAGACCCGGCGACATGCGCTGGCCAAGGAGGCTTTCTTCTATTTGTAATATCCTTCTTCTGAGTCCTTTCGACGACAATAAATCCAATAATATCAATTTATTCTTCTTTAACAACAACAACAAATTACTATTTTCTATAATCCTTTCTAATAATCTTCTAACTATATTTTTTAACTTAAGCTTTCGCTGTTTATATACTATTCGATAGATATTTATAGAACATTACATCATACTATTTTTAGATATTACATTAGACGATAAATACAGAAAAGCATGACTCAGCAAAATTACGTAACGTCTTAAATTAAGAATTTGCTGACGTGACTCACTTCACGTTACATCAGTCGCTGCATCTGCACATTGTTTATTGCAAACAGTTATTCTAATCCATTCCTTAAAAATGTAACTTTACAACTGCAGAGTTTGGCAAAAGTAGTGCCTGTGGAGTTTAATCTTATCCTTCACATTAAGGCTGTAGTTTTAGTAGTTTTGAGATACAGTCATTGCCACTATTATTAGATTTATTTATTTATTTATATAACTTCGCCATTTATATATACCATACAGTACAATACAAAAAAACAACCCCAAAAAACCCCCCCAAAAACAGAAAACACAAAAAAAACTAAAATATATAGTTCAGTACAGTATAATACATACAGTCAGATGGCTGGGACACCACAACAGTTAAAACCAATTACTGTGCGCCCTTTTAATATCTAATAACTAGAAACAACAATTTATAACACTGTTCAAACGACGACAAGAGTTACAGTTTAAACACACTGATTTCCACGTTTTTGGATCCTCTGCATCATAACAACTATGCAGGGCTTCCAAATAATAGTTCTGCAGCAATCTTTTAAATGTACTTAACCACATATTTGGCTGTCTTAAGTTCGTTGGAAGACAGTTCCAAACTCTTGTGGCTCGGGTGAAATATGATTTTTGGAAGGTGGTAGTTCTGCATTTTTGTGGGCGGAACAACAACTCAGTGGTACTGGATGATCGGGTAACTCGGGTGGGAATAATAGGTTGAGGGAGAACATCTTTAGATACGTCGATCAGACCGTTTACAGCTTGAAAGAAAAACACAAGATCTGTTCCAAACTGATCAACCTGTCGCGGTATAACCTGAGGTTCAGGCCCTAATTTGAAATAGGGCCTGACACAAAACCTGTGTAGACCGTGGGACGCCCACATGTTATTTTTAGACACAACATGCAATATGATTGACAAGTGTTGTAGATTTCGTTATACAAAAAAATTACATTCTCATGAACATGTCCGCACAGTGTGCATTTTGCTTTATAATTAAACTTAAAAATTCAAGGTACTTTTATATAAATAAGATTCAGACAAAGATTTAATTAGTCAGTTCTGTGCACGGCTTGACTGCCAAGCTTTCTCAAGGTCTCAACTCGGATATTAGGGATATACTTGATTAAAACGGGCTAACAACAGCAACAATGAAATTCTCAATCGTACCACGAAGAAGGCGATGTAGCTCAGAAAACAACGCCGGTAGGACCTGATATTAAAAATAAGACTTTTGCCGGCAAAGCCAGTTGGCAGAACATCTTGGCTGTCAACAACAAGCTTTCGAATACATGACTTAGATTGGCTGTTCTTTCGGCGTCCAAAATTTGTCCAAGATTTTGATAAAGCCCTTTCAAAATACTGTTTGTTTGATTTATTTTCTGCCATAAATCATAAAAGAAAAAGAAATTCGAAGAAATCGATAATGGAATTTGTACGTGCGTTTGACCTTTATATTAATTGTCGCCTTGACCGAGCTATTTTTAAAACTGTTGTTTATGTAAACTTGCAACCAATCAAAATCCTTCATGATGCTGATCAACCAATCAGATTTTCCGTCCACCAGATGGACGGGAATCCCACACTTTAGATAGGTTTTGTGTCAGGCCCTATTCTGTGATTAGGGTCTGAACTTCAGGTTAGTCGCGGTATTACTCGTCGCGCAAGTAGGGAAGGTTCAGGATGAATTTTGACGGTCTTCTCTGTACACGTTCTATTCGTCTAATTAGACCTATAGTCTGGGGAGACCATACTTGACTTGCGTAGCCAAAAACCGGGCGGACAACTGAGGGATACAGTTTCCGGCGGGTCCGTGAGTTGGATATTTCTCCAGCGCTTCTCCTCACGAAACCAAGCAGTTTGTTGGCTTTCACACAACGTTCTAAGACATGCTTGGTCCATGTGAGATCACTGGCAACCCAAATTCCTAAGTCCTTCTCAACCGACGTAGTTGTGAGTTCCTTATCCTTGATCTTATATGCATAAGTAGTATAGCTAATTTGAATTTAAAAGGGTTCAGTTTTTTTTATACACACTGTATAATACCATTCGATTCCCACCGTTTATATTTTTCAAGCTTGCCCGGTGTGGATATACACTCAGAGTAATATCACAAGCATCATTGTATAATATTGGTTTACAATTGCATTTACTGATACAAAAGACAATTACTGGCAGTTCCGCCTACGTATAAGATTGCTGACTAAGTTATATATTGTGCAGAATTTTTGAGCAATTGTTCTGGCAAATGTTTTGAGTTATGCGGTGTGCCAAAACTCTAATCTCGATCTATGTCGATAGCTGCCTTTGTCAATTATTTTTCCGTTCGTTTTTAAAATAAATTATGTGGTCGTTTGCCCACGCATGGTTCGCGATATTAGATTTAAAGTTTTTTGCTAAAAAAACCTTTAAATTCTAGCAGCACAATATATAATTAGTCTGCAATCTTATACGTAAACCGGGACTGTCAGTAATTGTCTTTTGTGTCAGCAAATGTAATTGTAAACCGTTATAAAAAGTGGATGAGAAAATATAGAAAATGTTTGTCTGACCGTTGCCGAACAGAGTAAATTGAATACGTAATAAGCCCAGTGTATAATTTATGCATGATATACATTAAGTGCCCTCTAATTCTCTAATGATGTCGGAAGAAAAAGTGTTTGTTGGACAATGCTGCTCTTGCCCGCTGCTCTCCATTGCTTAGTGCCAGGATTTTTATACACACTTTGGAGGGTAGTGATTTTAATTTATTTTGGGCAACGATCGTGACTGGCAATTCTCATAAACTTTCATTCTCGTTTGACCATACTCTATCAAGATATAATGGTCTGAAAACTAAACAAAAGTGTTTGTTATATGTTTTTGTCCGAGCTGCTTATGTTAACTTGTGCACTGTCACGGTGATTGAGCTCATTGTATTTTCGTATAATGAAGTAACCGTCCAATAGGAATAGCTGAGATGAACGTGCAGCCACTATGAATAATATTTAATGAAGCTAATACAAAGGATTTGTGCAAGATGAGGTACAGTATCCAGTAAAGGGATCTATTAGAATATGGTTTGACCTGCGCTTATGAGCGTCATTATCACTAATTAAAAACAGGTGTGACCAATTGGGCGACTGCAATTCAATGATATACTTTTCAACCGTTGCGGTACAATCGCGTTAATTCTTCAGAAGAAGTCGCTCGAGGATGGAATCTTATTATTTTATCAACTTGATATTCATATTTGCTGTGAATGTATTCTTCTTTTTCTCAGGAATATGTTTAAATGCCTTGGTCATACTCAGTTTCTGGAGGTCTGTACAGCTTCGAAAGAAATTATGTTATTTCATGATAATGGTTTTGTCCTGTTGCGATTTGCTTGCGGTTTTAACTAATAGTCCACTGGTGGCCCTAATCGCGATGTCATGGTCGGAGGGAATGTTGGATGTAAATTCTAAATGGGCTAATATGTCCTTAAGATGGACAAATATTTTCCTCGTTTATTCATTACTCGCTCTTTTGGTGATGAATTTCGATCGATATTTGGCGACATCTTATCCTTTCTTTCATCGAACATCGGTAACGAAGAGAAGACTTCTAACTCTTCTTGCAATACTGATCATCGTCCAAGTAATTTTGAGAGCGATGAGTGTAAACGACTCTGTTCTTTCCTACGAAGTACATGTTCTAATTCTTTGCACTCTTCTCATTCCTCCGATGTTATTTATCAACTACAAACTGTTTCTAGTTGTCAGGAAAAGTCGTAGAAACAAAAAAGTATCGCCCGATATGAAAAAGTCGTTTTCTTTGAAAAACATTTCGAGTTGCTTGCTTGTGGTCGCTTGTCTTGTCGTGGTGTCCATTCCAACGTTCGTCTACATTGGACTAAGACTAAACTCGCCGGAGACAACAAATACTTTGGATAATGCAAACCTTGCAGGGCTGTGGGCGGTAACAATATCTTTTATGAATTGTACATTTAACTGTTTAATCGTTTACTGGAAAAACAAGCTGTTACGTACCGAAGGATGGAAAGTTTTGAAAAGCCTGAAAATATGTCGACGGGTTGAATCCTAGCTGCACTAATAACCCTTCTCCAAAAAAAACTTAAGGACTAGAAGAAAACTCACTAACAATATCTTGGTCATAGCAAGTGTGACAGAAGCAAATATACAGGCATATCATCATCACTATAAAAAGACAATAGTAGAACTCTACCTATTTAAGGATTTTAGTTTGTCATTACACTGTTTTCTTGCGGCTTACACAGGGTGTATAAAAAAACTGAACCGTTTCAAATTCATATTAGCTATAACGTATTGTAGCAATTTGATAGCTCTAATTGCCCTGAATTAATGATTGGGTAAGGACACAAGGAATACTGTATTTCTTTTAAATTTTCTAATTTTTATTTTTTTGAGTTATACAACAAAGTATACGCATATCGTTCATCCCCAGGGACCAACTCGGCCATGGCGGCCATATGTTGGTGTTCCAGACAAAAGAATCTATTCAACATGGTGGCTGTGACGTCATGTGCAAACGCTTTATAAAACCGACAGTAGCTGTAACTAGGGTATATAAGGCACTGTTATGCTTGTATAATTTCATCCATTCCTGAAGATGACCAAAATATAGTCGAATAAAACGTAGAAAATAAGAATGCTTTCATTATTTCAATTTTTTCATTATATACGAGGTGAATAAAAAATTTCCCATGTTATTGTGCTTTAAGTATTGGGTATGTATAGATTTAATTTTCGCATCCTAATAAAGATTAGGGCTTTAACTATCGAATGAGATATTTTTTCTATCATTGCGTTAAAAACTGAACTAACACGGCCGCGATTTAAGATGGCCGATTTTCCAGCCG